AAGAGTGTTTGAGCATTACTATTTGTTAGGTCACTAAAAGGGATGAAGATTCTTCTCTGATGCAACTTAAAGAAGAGTTTCGGAGTTACGAGGCTTTGCGGAGAGAGCACGATGCCCAAATTGTTCACATTGCTATGGAAGCAGGACTTCGAATATCACCAGAACAATGGTCTTCCCTTCTTTATGGTGACTTGGCGCATAAATCGCACATGCAATCCATTATTGACAAGGTTCGTCGAAGAGATGGTTTAGTATCCTAGTAGGATTAGCTATGACTGTTAAATGGTATAATAAAAATCCTAGAACCACTACAGTTACCTTTCTGTCTTTAATTGTATCAAATATTAATTAAAACTAGAATGAAGGACTTTTTTCCCCTGCTGTAGTGTAACCTTTACATGAAGACGTTTTGTTTTTCTTGTAGTTAAAGTCTAGTTAAAGTCTGTGTCTTATGATGAAGCTTCATAGGGCAGATTCTGAGCTGAGAAATGAAATCTCTCTCCACTGATATTCACTGTATGCCATCTGAAGACACAACTTATTACACTGGTTTCTAAATGCAATCAAAACCATTTTAAAACCAATAGGTTCCCAGTTACAGGAAGCAACACACTAACGCTCCCTTTATTCTCAGCTCCAGTCTCCAGAATCTTTTGCGAAGAGTGTACAAGAGTTGACAATTGTCTTGCAGCGCACAGGGGATCCTGCAAACTTAAACAGGCTAAGGCCTCATTTAGAGCTTCTAGCAAACATAGATCCAAATCCAGGTATGCAAATTAGGCTTTAAAAAAAAAACTTTACGTTTTTTCATATCTAGGCAAATAAATTAAGGTAATGATCTCTGTTCCCAGTTTCAAAATTCCTCATAATTTTTGTGGCATATTATAAACTGTTCTCCCGGATTCTTTCCTTATACTTGGTGTTTTGAGGAACTAGAAAAGTTGCTTCTTATTTATGATGCTACTGGAATTACTAACAGATTGACAAGCCTGTTCTTAATAATTTTAGATGCAGCATCCCCAACATGGGAGCAGCTGGAAAATGCAATGGTGGCTGTAAAGACTGTGGTACATGGGCTGGTAGATTTCATCCAGAATTATAGTAGAAAAGGCCATGAAACTCCACAGGTAACTGTATTTGACTGTTGCCTGCTGTGTTTTGATGTACGTTTACTAAAAGATCTAACTTGGAAAAGATAGCTGTTGATTTGAAATATTTACAGCCTTTTCTGTGAAATAATTGATGACACTGTTGTCTGCTGGGTTCAGGTTTTGAGAACTTAACACTTCTGAATGTGGAACACAGCAGAGCTTACTGCAGCAAGCTCAGTACAGTGACATAATACTTAGCCCTTCAGCAAGCAACTTCCTTAGTTTGAAGATGCAAAACGTCAAAACATGTCATGGATGTGTTTTAAGTGTGTGTGCATGTGTATTGTAAACCTCTCTTTATGTAAAACTCTATTAGATTGTAAGTGGAATGACTTTTATGTGTTTTAAGCCACAACCAAATAGCAAATACAAAACAAGTATGTGCCGAGACCTTCGACAGCAAGGGGGATGCCCAAGAGGTACCAACTGTACGTTTGCTCATTCTCAGGAAGAGCTTGAAAAGTGAGTATGGGAGATAATATGTTTTTCGATTTAAATCCAAACTGTTTCCATAAAACTTTGAAAATGACTGCTTCTATGCATAAATCTGTTCTGGAGGATCTGTGAATTCCTTGAAGTTACAGCTCTGTATGTAAAGTTGGAGGTACATTAAAGCATTGTCTGTAAATTAATTTCAATGCTACCTTTTATTCTACTCCATATGAAGCAAAATTTCCTTTTCTGAAACAAAGCCTAGGCTCAGGGCCTATCCTTGATCTGTTATGCCACCCACAGGAGAACGAATGATGGTTGCAACGATTTGAATTGAATTGGGGAATAAAGTGAGTTGTTTGGCTAGTATGTAATGCACGCATCCTTAAAGGATTTGAGTGAAAATAGTATTTCCAAAGAACTGCTCAAGTGGATCTCCTAAGAGGAGGTGGATCTTTGGCTAGAAGGAGGAGACTGATTCTCTGCTTGCGTATTAAGCTAAATTATTGAAAATAAGCACCAACTTAAAATCCTGTAACTTTTGAGTGTTGCGTTCCTTTCAATCTCTTCTATTCTGTCAGTTTTACAAATACCTTAAACTGCACAGTATGCACTGTCATCTGTCTTTTCTGTGTTTGCACGTATATTTCTATATAGGTATCGTTTGAGGAACAAAAAAATCAGCGCAACTGTGAGAACCTTCCCCCTTCTAAATAAAGTTGGCGTCAATAGCACCGTCTCAACCACAACAGGAAACGTAATTTCTGTCATAGGAAGCCCTGAAGCAACAGGGAAGATGGTGCCAAGTACTAATGGAATAGCTAATCTAGAAAGTGGTGTTCCCCAGTTGATTCCTCGCTGTGCAGACACATCCCTGAGAGCTTTGGAGAACGCCAAGAAGGGAGGGAAGGCTGGAGCCAATGGCCAGAATGTGTCTGGATCCCCTACTGAATCACTACCTGAAAAGTAGGTAAAGCTTTTGCATTAAAATGACTAAAGACAACATTTTGCTTTTAGATTATCGTGGCAAACAATACACAAGGAAGTCTAGTCCGTATTTGCAGTTGTTATTAATGCTTACTGGCTACGGAGTCGTGCAAGATCTCATACTGCAGTGCAGATACCGTTTTTCAGAGTCTGTGAATTTAAGTTGTCAGGGCCGGTTTTAGTTGTTTTAGCTTTTAAATAGTCCTGTGTAACATAGATAAAGCCATTAATATCTCTGTGTATCTTTTTATTCACCTATTCTTAGCCTAGTATCTAACCTAGTATTGGGTTATTAAAAAAAAAAAAAAAATTGCACTTACACTGTTGTCGCAGCTAAGAACTACCAAGTTATGTGGTGATTTTTATCAGCAGCCATTATAAAATCCCTTTATAATCCTGGAAGATGTGGAGGTCTCCCTTAAAATTGTTTAGATACTTCTTCGTAGAGCATTGAGCCTCCAAACAACTTTTCAAAGCCTTTATTTCTTTACCGGAATACACTTACAAGTGGTATATAAGCTTCTGGGTACATATGAGTACGTTTACCTGAGCTTTTGAGCTTCCTTAAGAGGAAGTCTGTTCCAAGGTTTTAATAATAGCATCAGTTTGGGGCATGAAAAATAGAATTCCAGAGGAGGTGACACGACCTAAAGTTCCACATTACGTTGGAGTATATACTAAGAGTTGATTAACTGAAATAAGCAAAGATCTCCTTAATGATTTGTTGGTAATCCTTTTCAGTAAAATTGGTTCTCCACCCAAGACTCCTGTAAGCCAGGCAGCAGCTACCTCAGCTGGTCCTCCTAACATTGGGACAGAAGTGAATTCTGTGCCTCCAAAATCAAGCCCTTTTGTTCCCAGAGTACCTGTCTACCCTCCACATTCTGATAACGTTCAGTATTTCCAAGACCCCAGGACTCAGCTGTCCTACGAAGTTCCACAGTACCCACAGACAGGTGAGTGAGTTGAGCACCGAATAGTTCAAAATAAGCTCTGAACTTTCATCTAGATCAACCTAAATTTGTGCTGAGAAATAGCTTTTATTTCAAACCTGTGGCTTTTATTTAAGCATCAACTGAATCTGCACTTTATATAACAGTAATTGGTTCCATCACTGCATATGGGATTATTCAAGCAAACTCTTAAGAACTTACTCTAGCATCAGGTGGTTTCCAAGCTCTCAAAACAAAAGGTAGAGATGTTCAGGCAGCTATCGAGGCGGGGGAGGGGAGAACAAGCGAAGTGTTAAATAATTGTTTGCGGACCTTTGGAATTATTACAGTCTAACTTTTTTTTAAGCAATATAGCTTTTTATTTTGGAGGTAGCTATTTAACTTCATGTATAAAGAGAAAATACTTATATCTTCTCAGTAAAATATGTAGTTGTATGTATATTTTAACATAATATGTTGGTAAATGGAATTTCTCTGCCACTGTTTGCAATTGGGTCAGGTTGGTAAATGGTCAGCACTGCCTCTGCAGAGGTAATGATAACGTGAAACTATACATTCACAGAGAAATGGTGGGGTTTGTAGAAAGGTGTCGCTTTGCTCTCTGAAGGTACTTACCAACACTATTTACAGTTTTAGAAGGTGTAAAATTCTGGGTCGTTTGTGACCACATTAAATATTCCTTTTTCCAATTTTCAAGGATATTATCCACCACCTCCAACAGTACCAGCTGGTGTGGCTCCCTGTGTTCCTCGCTTTGTGAGGTCCAATAATGTTCCAGAGTCCTCCCTCCCACCTGCTTCCGTGCCATATGCCGATCATTACAGTACATTTCCCCCTCGAGATCGACTGAATTCTCCTTACCAACCTCCTCCTCCGCAGCCGTATGGACCAGTTCCTCCTGTCCCTTCTGGAATGTATGCTCCAGTTTACGACAGCAGGCGCATCTGGCGCCCACAGATGTACCCACGAGATGATATTATTAGGAGCAATTCTTTACCTCCTATGGATGTGATGCACTCATCCGTCTATCAGACGTCATTACGTGAGAGATACAACTCTTTGGATGGGTATTACTCTGTGGCTTGCCAACCTCCAAATGAACAGAGGACTGTGCCTTTACCAAGAGTAAGTAAGGGCAGGGGGTGAAGGGAAGGTTGTCGGCTTGATTCTAAAGGTCATGACTGAAAACTTGATAAACAATTATCATAGACCTCTTCTGTTTGGTTGGGGTTACAGTAATCCAGAAACATGACCTGGGCAAAGCTCTTGTTTTGTTTTTAACCCTAATAAAATAGGCCTGTAAAATAGATCGCTGACATTCTGAATTAAGATTAGAGCCCCACTGTCTCTAATTCCAATGCATGTTGCTTGAATTAATTAAACACTTAAGAGTTGAGTTATCCTACAAAAGACCAAATTCTTCTTCAAATCCTTGTGAGATTTTTCCAGTGACATCAGTGGAAGGTTACAGAGCCAAGAGAATATGGAGGTCCAAGTGTATGTCCTGGCCCAAGTACTGAATCTCTCTTCCTGTCCGTATCCTTTTTTCCATCCCAAATATTTACCATTTAGAGTATGGTAGGATATACAGTCTTACGCGTCTTATTTGCTAGGAGCCTTGTGGTCACTTGAAGACTGGTTATGATGAACAGTTAAGACGGAAGCCGGAGCAATGGGCACAGTACCACACCCAGAAGACTCCTCTCGTGCCCTCAACCCTTCCTATGGCAACACCATCTCCAACACCGCCGTCTCCTCTCTTCAGTGTAGATTTCAGCACAGAGGTGGGAAGCCAAAGAACTTCTTTATTTTCCCTTCCTGCTTCTGTAAGATGACATTTAGTATTTCCAGTAAGGATTTTCTGTGTGCCATCTATTTTTCATAAAACAAAGTTAATCTTGTAGCAAAAGGAGAGTAATATCTAATAAAGAATGCTTTCAATTTGGTATTAAGCTGATGCTAAGCATGACTGTTGACAGAAGGTCAAGAAGTAAAGAAGTGATTTAACTTACCCTCTCTAAAGGAAATGTCATTTTATTGAACTTGCATTGTGAGCCTCCAGATTTTTATGTAGGGAACAACAGGTGTTTTCCATTAAGAACCACCTTCTCTTTTATACTCCTAATGGCATGATAACATGATGAATAGACTGAATCAAGCTGCAAATGCTTCTCAAGTCCCAGAGAATACATGTTCTTCAAAAGTGACAAAAGGCATTGGCAGAATATTATATACCTACATGACACAGTTCTATAAGCAAGAACGGAAAATTACCAACAGAAGCTGGATGTGTATTTTTTTTGAAGTAAAATAAAAGTCAGTCTTGCAGTATTTATTTTATATACATATAAACTAAATGCAACCTAGAAAATGCCTAGAGCAGTGGTTCTCAAACTGGTCTCTGCTGTGATTTCATTTATAAAAGTGACACTGTTGACATTTGAGATGTGATACAGTGATTATTTGGAAGAGTAGGTTTTGCACGATAGGTGTACCTGAAGTCTCTCTTTGGGTGTGTTCAAGGTATGTCAGGATTAGGTCTTCATCCAGGTTGGAAGGTTCTGAGTTCTACTTCTGTCTGCCACTGATTTCTATGTTAAAGGAGAAATTCACGACTTCCACTCTAATTGGTCCAGGAACTTGTCTCAAGAAACTGACCACTAACATAATAGCACTGATTTGACCCTCCAGTGTTGGAAGGACAGGCATTGATTTCTAGTGGCAAAGCTTACCGTTCTTTGACTAGCTGTCAGCTGCACTGAAAAAAAATCGACTGTGAATCGGTTATGCGGTTCCTGAGTCAAGTTTTGAACATGCATAGAACTTCTAGATTTGACTTCTGAGATTATTTCATTAAGTAGCAGCAAATGTCTTTCCTTATTTTAAGACTGAATTCCTTGTTTTACTACCTATTTATTCCATTTTCCGTAGTTCTCGGAGAGCGTCAGTGATTTGAGTGGAACTAAATTTGAGGAAGATCATCTCTCCCACTATTCCCCGTGGTCTTGTGGCACTATTGGCTCTTGTATAAATGCTATTGACTCGGAGCCCAAGGATGTGATTGCCAACTCAAACGCTGTTCTGATGGTAGGGCTTTTCTGCCTTTTACCTCCTTAATGTAATGAGACTTGCATGCTGAAGTGTCTTCTCTTTGATTAAGCAAGGCCTTCCTCCTCCCCCCCCCCTTTTTTTTTGATAGCATCGACATTGTAGTTTAAGGTAGTTCTACCTGTTTGAAATTGTTTGGAATATCTTTTCCCAATTTTGTGAACTGTGTATGTTTCAGTGACAGAATATAGTGCTATGAATAATATTCTTAAACGTTTAAAATAACTATTTTAATAACAGTTCTGTGTAAATTGAACTTGTAGGCAAAACATCGAGTTCATGGTCTGTAAATTGATAAGAATTCCTTACATTTAAATGCGTTCTCAGATCTGTTTGTTAAAACGATGGGATAAAAAAAAATAAGATGGGAAATTCTTATGTCTCTTCAGAAATGTATTTGCTCTTATTTACATATATATGTGTGTGGGTGTCTATGTTTATGTGTATATTTACCATGGGAAACATCTGAAATAGTCTCAGAATATTTCATAATGGCAGACTTGACTGGTTAATATAGGGTCACTGTGGCCAGTTCAGAGCAGAAGTCTCTCAATGGAGAGTAGTCTATGCTGCATGAGTAAATTACTGGGCTTTTCAGGACTCTAAGATTTGTTATGTTACCATTGTTTCAGGGAACCTTTACTTTGAAGTTAGTTCCAGGAGCAATGTAGGCTTTACAGAAATGACATGGAAAAAAGCTAAAATATTGTGGACCCAGGATAATCAGCATGATCCTTAATCTTGGCTGCTGTGTACCTGCAGAGCATCTGTATGAACTGTTTCCCTAGAATATGCTCTTGGGTAGAAGGCACGTTCTCCCTGCAGTGAACAGTTCAATATAAATAAATCTGTGGAGGAAAAAAAAAAAAATATGACTTTATTGCCCAATTTCCATGAAAGAAAAGACTAATTGAAATACTTTAGGGAGCCAAAAAAAAAGTATGAATCATAGACTACAGATTGATTTTTGCATAAGTAAGTCTTCATGCTTTTTTGGAGGCTTTCCGCTCTATAGCGTAGCAGATTACCTTTGCAGTCTATGTAACAAATGTAAGCAAATTCATCCTATACCTGCTTGATACTGCCTCCTTCAAATATAGAAAAGGGTACTGAAGGACATAAGACTGTCGTCTTAAAGCATACTGGACCTTTTTCCAACTAGAAACACTAGCTTGAAAAGCAAAACTACTTGTAACACTGCCTGTAGGTTTCTAATGGTCAGTTTGCCATTAAAGGGCATTAGTTAAATCATTGTGTCTCATTTTGGTGCAAATTAGCAGCCTTGTATTCAGTAATGATAATGAGAAAGTCATTGGCCATCTGAATGATCCAGCAACCTCCAATCAGTCCCTTTATATTTTTCTGTCTCCCAAACTTGTAGGATTTGGACAGTGGGGATGTCAAAAGGAGAGTACATTTATTTGAAACTCAGAGAAGGGCAAAGGAGGAAGATCCTATAATCCCATTTAGTGATGGACCGATCATCTCCAAGTGGGGTGCAATCTCCAGGTCATCCCGCACTGGTTATCACACAACAGATCCTATTCAAGCCACTGCTTCCCAAGGAAGTGCTACTAAGCCCATCAGTGTATCAGGTACAAGTATAGGCTTCCTATTGCCAGTAGAGCACATTTCACAAGAGCGTTTGTTGATGATGGAAAGAACTAAAATATCTGTATATCCTGCTTTAAGAATGGAGAAGAAAATGAATTGTATCTTAATCTGTTGCAGATTATGTCCCTTATGTCAATGCTGTTGATTCAAGATGGAGTTCCTATGGCACAGATTCCACTTCGTCAGCACGTTACCCAGAACGGTAGGGACTTTATTTCCATGTGTGTTTGTTCTTAAGCATTTGCTATAACTTGTTACTCTTAAAAATCCTGAACGTGGAAAAACACGTGAAACGCTTAATAGACCGTCTTCATTTTAAAGGTAACGGATTTTCCTATCCAGCATAAGGCCTTGGAAAAACTAGGTTAAAACTTGTGTAGTACTTAAACCTAATGCAGCTATTAGTAACTCGCTTATTAGCAGCATTATGCTTGAGAGGCCTAATCAAAGAACTGGAGTTGGGTACTGCCGAGCTGTAATCTCAAGATCTATAACCTTGAGTGAGTTATCTCAAATTTTCCTGCAGCATCTTCCATGTGTGTAAAATAAGGCTGTCTGTATCATATAATGCCTTGGAGTATTGTGTACTATTATTGGATGAAGAGCTTGTTATGCATTTGGACATAAACTATGTGGAAAAAAAATAACATGACAGGCGAGTGAAGTTTGAGAGGCCTGTGACTTAGAGGGCTTGTTTTTAATCCCTAATTTCACCTGCTTGATGTAATATCTACTTTCTCTTAAAGGGACAGATTCATAGTTACAGATTTGTCTGGTCACAGAAAGCATTCCAGCACTGGAGATCTGTTGAGCATTGAATTGCAGCAGGTAAGATCAGTTATGCCATGTGTAAAACTTCATTTGGTTAAGTGACTTTAAAGAAATTGTTTTTCTGTATAACTTAACAGAACTAACTAGTACAATTGACAAAATCGTCAGTGAAGGTTACCTGGACATTAGTACTGCAAACACTTAGTACGATGCGTGAGAACTGTTACTGTGAGCTGTTCCATTGACTTCAGTAAGACTGTTTTTTGGAAGCCTGATAAATGTCAGAAATCCAGAACAAAATAAATATGGTGTGTTGAAAGAATACGTAGTTGTACATCTAGAGAGAGGACTGTTCTCTTTGTGAGCTGATTTATTTTGCCATTTGACAATATACAGTTAAGTGTAGTTGTAGGTAACTGATATGTTTCTTTCCATAGGCCAAAAGTAATTCATTATTACTTCAGAGAGAGGCGAATGCACTAGCCATGCAACAGAAGTGGAATTCTCTAGATGAAGGCAGTCGCCTTACCTTAAATCTTTTAAGCAAGGAAATTGATTTGAGGAATGGTGAGGTAAAGAAAGGGGTGACTGGGAGGAAAGAAATCTTTGAGATACGGGGGATTTATGTATGCACACAGACACACGCTCTTAGTTTTAACATGCCTAAATATTTATAACACATTCTGTGCAAGTTGAGTTGTTGCCCTCAGTTACTTCCCTGAGATGAAGTAGGTGCACCTGCTATGATGCTTCTCCAATCCTGCATTTACAAAATGGCAAGAATGTGACCATCCATCTTTCACACGATCCTTATTCTTTGCTCTAGTTGTAGATGTTATAAATATAAATCCTCTGGCAACGGACTCTACAGAAACTACCATTCCAGTATTCATAGTATTCATTTTTTCTCTCTGTTTCAGTACTTTTAATGCAATCAGATTTTGCTGTGTATCCTATTTTGTCTATACCCAAAGTTCTGTTTGTGTCTGGCTTGCTCTTTTGTAGCCTAGAAATGTTGTGTCCTAGAAATGCACCTTCTATTTTCACTTTTTGTACTTGTGTTATATGCAGCAGGTGAAAAGCCTACCTGATGCTTAAATAATGTATTTAATTCTTTTTTCAGACTGATTATACTGAAGACTGTGCAGATACAAAGCCAGATCGAGACATTGAATTGGAGCTGTCAGCCCTTGATACAGATGAACCTGACGCGCAGGGTGAACAAATAGAAGTAAGTACAAAAAAAAGCGCATCTGAAGGAGTCATTGGGTCTTATTAGTTATTCAACAGAACTTGTCTTTTTAAATTAAGTTTGTTTAAATTGATAGCAAAGGCTTTTATTTTCAGTGTTATACTGACACCAAATTTTCTGACACTTAATATTGTTTTAACACTAGGGGATCTCATACTTCTGCAATTCAGGTAACGGACTGTCAGTATTAACTTAGTTTAAAAACAAAAAAACAAACCCTGCTGTGTTCCTTGTGATAGCTTTCAGCTTTTTGCTCTTAATCTTTTGATAGAGTTAAATAATGTGTGTGTGGCGGGGGGGGGGATCTCCCTCCCCACACTGTTGAAATTACAGTTTAAGAATGTTTTAAACTGAAGTTCACACTTAAGTGTGATCGTGTAATTGAATTTTGCACTCACCTGACTTTTTTAATAGTCAAGTCATCCATATTATTGTAATTCACTCTTCTTTTATCTTCACTGCTACTTCGTATTTTGTTGGAGTAGAGAGAGTGTTACGGTTTCTTCTGTTATTTCCCGCTTTGCTGTGCGGTCATAAAACATTCCAGTGTTCATCCCAAGCCTGACAATGAATTATCTTTATTAAAAACAAAACAAAACCTGTACACTTTAAAAAAAAAAAAAAATGAAGGATCTTACCTTGAACTCGTTACATAATACATTCCAGTACTGGCTTCTATGCTTTTGTTTGCTCTGTTTTTTGGTATGTGCTGCAGTACTATAGTATGAATACCTGTGCTTTGTCACTACATTGCAGGGGGGACACCTGCATCTTTGGTCTGTCTTTCTACCCCTAATTTTTGAAACAGTTCGCACTGTCTTTATTGCCTCCTTAGTATCTTACCTTATAAACCTTTCATTTTTGCCCCTCCGCTGACCAGCGTACTACTGTTGTCTTTCACTGCTGTCCTCTAATAACTGTGTTCCCCTTGTTGATGCTGTTTATCGGAAAAGGACTGTGAAGGGAATTTGCAAGCTGTGTTCCCTGCCTCTCACCCAAATTATTGTGTAACACAGAAGAGGAATAGGGTGCATAGGTTCCTGGGATTCTCTAGACTTTCAAACAGTTGGTCAGTGTGAAATCTAGATATGATTTATGATCTCTTCTAGAATCTGCCTCTTCTTATGTCATCTTTATAGTTGCAAAAGCACTCTGAAATGCCTGATGAGGGTGAAATATATGCAGCTAGGCAGTTTCTTGAAAAAGTTCCAGTTGAATTTCAGTCCTGTTGGGAATTTGTAATTTATATCAGTTTACTTTAAAATTTTAAGTTAAAGATATTTGTGATAATATGATAGGCAAAAGTGAAATGTGATGAGCATTCCTGGAGTAAAATGGGATATGTTCCATTGGTATGAAATTAACAGGAGTCTTTTAGTAAGACTCCTCAGTTATTTTTTCCATCAGTTGTATGTAGTGAAACGTAATGGGAAAACCTAAAGCTGGTAGTGACAGTATTGATGGACATTTCTCCTTTCTCCCTGTAGGAGATTCTGGATATACAGCTAGGTATTAGTTCTCAAGATGATCAGCTGCTCAATGGAACAACTGTAGAGAATGGGCATCCGCTAAAGCAGCACCAGAAAGAATCTATGGAACAGAAGAGACAAAGTTTAGGTGAAGACCTTGTGATTCTGTGAGTGTTAGACAAAACAGCAGTGTCTGCCAGTATTAGGCAAAACAGCAGCATCAGAATAGTTGAAGCCTGATTGTTTAAGGATGAACTATGTACCTACTCAGATTTGGATTAGACATCTGCCTTGTATATGCATGATCAAGTGAGAAGAAACTTAAGAAATAGAATTAGTTCATAAACATGAAAGTTGCAGCATACCATTTTTCATATGCATTGTTGTAGCCTGATATATACTGAAACACGTCACAGCTGTTAAATACTTTCATGTGTTCAGTAAACGAAAAATGCAAAAATATTTTTATAATTACCAGAAATTAAGGAAAGTTTCAAAAGATTAAATGTCAGACTATTTGCATAGATCTCCATAAAGAGGTAATTTTGAAAAATATTTTAGGTTTAACACTATTTTAGGTTTATATGGACTGTAGTTCTTAACATATAATACAGCCTTTGAAAACTGGGCAGACCGCATTTAACGTCTTGAACGTACCCTTCCGTAGTAAGATGTTTTGCCTGTTGCTAAAAAATCAGTTTGTCGTATTTATTTAATGCACACGATTCATTTACAGATACTTGTGCGTGAACTTGTTTAATATTCGTGTAACTTATTTTTCTCCTCAGGGAGGAACAGAAAACAATCCTGCCCGTAACTTCTTGCTTCAGTCAGCCGATCACAACATCTGTTAGCAATGCAAGCTGCCTGCCCATCAGCACATCAGTCAGTGTTGGCAGCCTCATTTTGAAAACTGCTCACATTATGTCCGAGGATAAAAATGACTTTTTAAAGCCTGTTGCAAATGGCAGGATGGTTAACAGCTGAAAGGCATTCATCTTTCCAGCTTGTGACCACACCATGGAAGCATTTACAAAAGCTTTTTATATATATAATATATATTATATAATGTATATTTTTTTTAAAAAAATAATATTGGGGTCATGCATTTCCTGTGGACTCTTTGATACTTCAAGCCCCTCTCGCATTAGCATTCTGAAGAAAAAAAACTTACTTTACTAGGGTAAGGCGTTCACTTTCCACAAATGAATGGAATTTGGACATTGTTTTACTTAAGCTTAAAGCAGCTTTTTATGAGTTTGTAGCAATCCGGTGCGGTATCTGAGCCATTCTTGTTTAAAATGGCTTCTGTAGAAAACTAACAACTCAGTTATTTAAACTAGCAGGATCCTACAATGATACATCTAGTGAAAGGAAAACTAACTTATTTGTCTCTATTTTGTTTCATGAGAGAGGAACTTGTGTCTTGTTGCAGCTGCTTTTTCTTTAGTTGTGGAACTTTGCATGGAGTATTGTTTCCTGTTTGAAGACTGAGAGGTGGGGATTTGGACTTGTGACTTTTACAGGGTTAACACACCATTAGCTTTGCACTGCTGCATTATTTGCAGGTCTGTGGTGCAGTGCTTTGCTGCGGCTTTTTAGTTTAATATTTTTCCCCCAATTTCTGCTTTAGTACTGTTGATATACATACGTACGTAGGCTACTTGTCAAAGTAACGTTATTAAAAGTAAACCAAGTGCCTAAGTCCTCCATCTAACGTACTAAGCATTTGATTTCCCCAAGTTAGACGTGAAACAACTTTGAGCCGTTTTGAGAGGTTATGCACTAATGTAACAGCAATTTGGGGGGGGGGTGGTTTATTAACAGTTCTCAACTTGCAGATTATAGACTCCAAATGACTTGGCAAAAAGTATCAGGTGCTCTTGGCTTTCCTTTGAAAACCCTGTATGTAGTGTTTGCACTGACTAACAAGATGGTATTGCTGTTTTTTGTACTGTTTTGTTTTTAATTTAAACTAAATATTGGAAATTTAAGGCAGTTGTATTACCTTTGCTAAATGTTGTTAAAAATAATTTTGTATTCAGGTTTAATTTTGCTTGTTCAATGGCAACTTATTTTCAAAGACCTTGAAAATACAATAATATAGCATTATCTGACCTTCAGAGTATTGAAAAGTGTATGAATTTATGCCCTGTTAAGATGTTACTGAAAATCATATTAGACATGTCAACGAAAAATAGGTTTTCATAAATATATACAAACTAGAGCCCTGGGCATATTTTTTAGAAAGCTTAAAAATCCACTTTTTTTTGGAAGAGAAAGCAGGATTCTCCCTCCTGATGATTACTATCTCCTTTTTTTTTTTTTTTTGACCTATTCCTTTTCTTTGTGACAAGTTTTACATTTTTTATGTTTTTATTAACTTCTGTGAAGTTGTTTACTCTGAAAATTGTACTGGAATATTTTAAGCCAAGCTGATCTTTCACCAGGTGTACTGCATGTAAGGGCTTTTCCTGCTAGCAAAATGCTTAAAGAGGATCATGTTACTGGTCGTCTGAGTTGTTATTTTACAAAAATCACAGCTATGTGGTCGGGTAAGATTTTGATAACTGTTTTGTGCACGTTTCTGGGGGGTGGGGGTTGGCATTTCCCTGAGGGTTACTGATTAGACTAAGTAAATATTGGTGTTTGATATCTCTCCTAATGAAACCTGTCCATGAAATAATTATGTTGTAAATATACCTAAAAATCCAAGGGTTAGTTTTGATATTCTGGTGTCAGTATGGAAGATCTTACACATCTATTTAATACTCAAATGTAAAGGAATGTATGTAGAAGAACAGTCAAGTAGTCTTTTCTTAGTTTCCTTTGGCTGTTGCTGTACCTTCCTATATAGCCAGTGCCACCTCATAGCTAGGATTAGACTGTGTTGTTTCACTTGCAACTCAAAGTGAATGGATACAAGAACCAGACCACCTTTGTCACCTTAACTTATTTCCTCTTGATGTTAACTTTAACTTAGAATGTTAGACATAAATATGATTGTTGTATATTTTATACTTAGACCATTCTGTAAATATGAATTTATATTACTTTTGAAATGCTTCTGAGATAATATTATTTGCTGTACAATGTAATTCCAAAACAGATATGCAAACAAGTATGTCTCTTTCATGGATATTTAAAACAGTGAGATCTTCCATGTTGAAGGTGATGTAATTTTTTTAAAAAGATTTTTAAATTTTAAATTGCTATTTTGTTACAAAAATAGAGAAAATATAAAGCTTCTAG